GTAAATCGTATGAACAAAAGCTTAAACTTGATAATATTCTGAATGGTAGTTAGAAGAGATACACTTCTAGAGTTGAATAATTTGTTATTGGTGGCTAGTTAGCTATTTTATTTAGTTTATGGAATAGAGGAGATAAATCCCAAAAGAGGATGGTTTGTTCAATGTGAGTTATATATATGTATATATATATATAATATATCTTATCGTTTTGAGGTCTAGAGGATTTGTTCATCATGCTTAATGTTGTATACTATTATGTATCATCTATATTAAACGCTAAAACTTTAATATGATGATTTTGGTTAGAGATTTTTATTTATCGGTTTTTAGAAGCTTGATAGAGGGAACTTGCTTATAGGTTTGACCCACTTTATTTTTATATTTTTCAAATTCTTATAAGTTCAAGTCTCAAGGTTGAGGATCCGCTTAGAGACTTATCTATCATCTACTCCTCTCGTTTACTCCAAAGTAGGACATTAGTTCATTTTTAGACTTTAATTTTGTTGTTATGGATTTGACAGTTATTGTATTATGGTTTAGGGGTCCTCCACTTACGGGATTCTCGAGTTGTATCTTTGAGAATATATTAAATATGAATTTTAATTAGAAGTTATTATTTATTGGATTATTCCTTCCGTGTTTTATTTATTTATTAGTTATTCCTTTTGTACTCCGTGCTTGTTTATTATTAATTGTTTGATATCTCCTAATTTTTGAGTGTGGACTTGATCAACCCGGCCATGACTTGAAAATTAGGAGTATCACATAAATCTCCTCCTTTTGGTACTTCAATCATTTGGTTCAACACGTCTATACATTCCTTAATTGTATAACTTCTATCACCACGATTTACCACCCTAGATTCAACTGCATTACAAAGTCTCCCAAACGTATTATTCACATTTGTTGTTGGTGACACTTTTCGACGCTTCTTAGATGGTGGAATGAAATCCCCTGATTTCCTATTACTTGCATAACCATCATCGATATCTTGATTGTTATCAAATTCCCTGTGTTCTTATTTGTTATACATTGCAGTATTTGCATCTTTTTGGGTATCTTGTGTATCTTCGACTTGACAAGGTCCAACATTATCTTTTGGTAATATTCCTTGTGAATGTGCATAAGCTAAGTTTCCCCTTAATATCCCATCTTTGAATAGATATGTTAACTCATACGAGTGTTCAATCCCCTTTTCTAGGAACTTAGCTTAGTCTGAGTGGATATGTTTAGCATTAACATATCATCACAAAATAGTACATGCAATTCATATGGATACTATGCTTTATATAGTTTCATAAGTGTTGAAATAGAATTTTGGCATAACTTAGTCAATAATTGATCCAAGCATATACAACTTCACCATTAATTATTGTTATTATTTTTAATATGAAAGAAACATATCATTCAAAACAAAATAACTGGCTAAATATAAGGAGAAAACGATCAATAGTGTGAGGAAGGAATTAAGATGAACAATACAAACATGGACTCATAAGAAATATTGATAACGATGAGGCACTGTAAACAAATTGGGATAGAAAAAAATATAACTGGAGTCTTGAAATGAATTCTTCAGATAGTGGAGGCTTTTTATAATGGTAAAAATTAGAAGTCATCTACAAGTAGAATTTCATGTTGTTAAAGAACTTAATTAAACAGGATTCTTACATTCCAGCTTCAATACAATTAGAGCAATCATAAACTAGATTAATCTCTACTCCATTTTTTTTATCTCCTTCTAACCTTTATCTATACCTTATTATTAAGAATAAGCTTTACAAAATTTAATCTTTAATTAATCATTATCATCAGGTGTTCTTTCAACAAGACCCCAATTCCATCAGTCTCTCTATCTATATATAAAATACACACACATACAGCTACAATTTCCTTTAAATCCTACATATTTCTATCTGTAGATTTTTTGAACACGGGCCATCCTATACTCCCAAGTGCACATATCTTTATCTATTTTCTTTGTGTTTCCCATTTATTATTGATACCAAACCACCGAGATCTGTAAATCACCAACACTTGAAGAACTTGCTAACGTTAAACCATAATCATCGGTGATCGTTCAGCAATAATGGGTATGGGGTTTTCTTTTTCTCTCGTTTGCCAGTGTTATTCTTATCCTAAGAACTTTCAGCATAAAACGATGGTAAGAAGGGGAAAAAGTTACAATTACATAAAACTTAAGGGTTAATATGAAAAAAATGACATAATATAAAATGATAATTTTGTAAACTCATTTGTTACTTATAGCAGCGCACAACTACCCTATAATGCGTTTTTCTAAGCCTATTTTTTCGGCTTTGGCACAATGGACATTCAATGGTGTAACAAGAGTCATTTGTCCCACATCATATCCGGATGGGAAAGTGATTGGGTATAAATGGGTGGGTATGCAGCACTATCCAATAGCTTAAGCTTTTGGGTAAATGGGCAAGTGCCTACCCATTACAGTTGGTATCAGAGCCAAACCCAGTCCTTAATTTAGTGTCACACCAAGCGCCCAACCCGAAAGGTGTCCGGGTGAACAACCCCGGGTAGGCAAGGTGGCCCGACCGCGACGAGGGCGTTGCAAGTTTGGGTAGGGAAGAATGGAACAAGAGTCATTTGTCCCACATCAGATCCCGATGGGAAAGTGATTGGGTATAAATAGGTGGATATGCAGCATTACCCAACAACTTAAACTTTTGGGTAAATAGGCAAGCGCCCATCCCTTACAAATGGTTTCTATTTCAACCAAAGCTTATTACATATTATTCACCAAACGTACATTTGGAATGCCTTTTAGGGATTGGAAGCCCATTTTGGAGCTACCATGAGCGAGCATAATATGGCATAGAGCCAAATACTCTGCCATAAGACATTCCCTACCGGCTAAGCCCTCTACATCCATAAACAACGTCATTATGAAGGCAACAAAATGAACATCAAATGAAACGACGGAGCCGGCAGAAGGATGGCATCGTCTGAGAGTGCAAGGTTTATCCACATCCATCGGAATTTCGACTTGAACTCACTAGCCTTGCCGGAATTCCATCTGAGAGAAAAGTCAGGGGAGATTGATTGAGAAAGATTTGGAAAAATAAGTTTGTATTGATGCATAGAGGTTGGTGAAAAAAATTAAACATATTTTTGATAAACGAGAGGAAGTTTTGGGAATATTTTTCATTATATTGAATACACTAATAATACAAGTATATGATGCGACTGAGCGTGTGCACAAAATAATGCACAACACTTTAGGCTTAGAAATAATGTCAAGTGGGCATCATATTTTATAATTTATAAAACCACTAAACACTTATACTATGGACTATAAAGCGAGTAGGGATCGTCACAAGAGATCTAAACAAATATTGGTTTTTAGAATTGAATTCTACTTTAGTGCTTATGTGATTGCTAAAGAGAGGTTTGTTTTGTGATTAGAACTAATTTTAATTTAAATACATGCAAAAAAAGAATAGAGTTTACAAGATTAGGAAAGAGACTTAGGGTATAGGATTCACCACTAAACACATTCCCTAACTCATTAACTTTCAACTAATTGGGGAAATAATACTATGTAATTCTAATGTAGCTAACATTTGTAAAGAAAAGTATGAATCATCAAATTCAAGCTTAAATTACCTACTTAATGACAATTAAACTAGGTGTAGTATAATCCACTAATCCAAAGCATGACTCATCAATTTAAGTTACAATTTTAACAGACATCAATCAAGAGGGTAATGCATTTGTAACAAAGAGTATGGAATTCAAACACAAGTATGGATGGTTTACTTACCTAATAATTAATTAAATTGCAATTAAACTAATTAAACATGAAATTAAAACTAATTAGACAATGAATTTACCTAAACATGTAGTGCCATCCATCAAGTAGAAGTATTCTCCATCAATTTGAAACACAATTACAACTAATCAATACTATGCACAGCCATCACAAGAATCAATTAACAAAGAATTCAAGTGTAAAATTTGTTTATCAATCAACCACATATAAGACAACATAAGATTAATACAGATAATCAATTAGAAGAATTTAATTCATAATATTCAAGACTATATACCAATTAAACAAATTCATCCCCAAAAAGTGAAAAGAGAGAGAGAATATGTTACATACTTAGGGTTTATCCAACCCTAAGTTGAAGAATCAGCCACTCATGGTTGATGGATTTGAAAACGGAACAATCTCCATCCTTTTCTTCATCATCTTTGCGCTTCTTCTTCTTTTTTTTTTTTTTTTTTTCATAATTGGTAATGTTGTATAGCAAAAGAATAAAATGATATATTACAAATGCACAAAAAGCATACCCTCAGTCAGAAAGGAAAATAAAAAACAAAGGAAATTAGACCAAAAGAAAAGGCCCATTTCCAATACACAGAAGTAACACACACCCTATACTGAGACAAGGTCATTAAAAGTAGCATTTTGGACTTCTAGACACTCCATAAGAGTGTGTCTAGCAGTAACCTCCGAAGACATTGCAATATTGTCATGAAGTCTTGCGTTCTTCTCCCTCCAAAGATGCCATATAGCTGCTGCAAACAAAAACTTCAGGATTCTAGAATTACAATAGTGCTAATGCATCCACTGAAATAGCTCCCACACAGAAAGAACATGAGAGAATTGCTGCATATCCCATCTGAGCACATCCCCTATCCAGACCCAAAAACCTTGAGCAAAAGAACATGTAACAAAGATATGATCTGTGTCATCAATATTCAATTTGCAATTTGAACATCTCGCTGCAATTACACATAGGTAACTTATTTGCCATCATAAAAGCTGTTGCGGTTGACCATCGAGGCTTAGCCTTATTCCAGCATAATTTGAACCATTACACTTTATCTATAGCATTCCTAAACCTGCTCCAAGCCATTTTGAAAGAAAACTGACCTCCAACCCACACAAGTTTATCTCCATTATTAGAAATAGCAACAGTTGACAGAAATTGCCATAAAGGCAACAAATCATCCCTCTACAACAACTGCCAATCCCAAGCCCCTTTCTGAATTAAGGAACTCAAAGGAGCATCTCGCTGTATCTGTAAACTTCTTATCATCCTATGCCCAAACTTAGCAACAACAGTCTGCCCTGCACACCAAGGATCCTTGAATAACAAAAAACTATGCCCAGTGTCTATTTGAAACTCACAATGCTGCAGCATGATATCTCTAACTGATAACATAGATTTCCACACAACAGAAGATGACATCCTAGGAATCGCAGACCAATAATTACATTTGGAAGAATACTTATGTTGAAACCACGATATCCACAACCTATCTTTGCTAGTCAGAAAATCCCACACAAGCACACATTTAGATGCTACCTGAATATCCATTAACTTTCTGATGCCCAGTCCTCCTTCATCTTTAGGCCTAGTGATCATATCCCATTTCATCAAGTGAAGTTTATTTGCATGCTCCTTGCTGCCCCATAAAAAATCTCTGCATAATATCTGAATTTGATTAATGACAGCCACTGGAACATCAAATATAGAACACCAATATTGAAAAATAGGGGTAACTACAGCCTTAATAAGCTCCACTTTACCTGTAACAGATAAAAGCTTTACATTCCAACACTGAATTTTACGACAAATCTTATCAATCAAATCCTTGTAGACAGATCTTTTTAAACCATTTGGATAGAGAGGAAGGCCTAAATATTTCATTGGAAAAACCTCTTCCTTGCATTAAAGAACCTCAAGCAAAGCAGTCTTCCTTCTAACTGCCCTAGAAAACAGCACACTACTCTTGCTAGGGCTAACTTGAAGACCAGTAAAACATTCAAATTTCTTAAAAATATCAAATAAAACCCTGGCATTGTGAATAGAAGCTTGGCAAGCCACAAGGAGATCATCTGCAAAGAAAATATGACAAAAACAAGGCTTAAACTTTTTAACAGAGTTAAGGACTATTAATTCCTTTTTCTGAACATCATCCATAATAATTCTTGACAGTAACTCTGTGACCAACGTAAACAACAAAGGCGACAGTGGACAGCCATGTCTGAGACCTCTACCAGGTTTAATAAAGCCTTTTGGAGAACCATTAAGCAATATAGAATATCTAGTGGATTCAAAAATGCTAGAAATCCAACTAATCCACTTATCAAAAAAACCATAAGAACTCCAAGCTTGAAGCAAAAACTCCCATAACACTGAATCGTATGCCTTTTTGATATCAACCTTTAAAGCCATAGATGGAGTGTTTGACTATTAAACCCCCTAACTAGCTCATGAGCCATAATAAGAGCTTCTTTGATTTTCCTACCCTTAACAAAAGCACACTGTTCCACCCCCACCAGTTTTGGCAGAAGAAGAGCTAGCCTATTAGCCATTAATTTGGTGATAATCTTATACACCAGATTACACAAAGCAATTGGTCTAAATTCTCCTACTTTGGAGGCATTACCAACTTTTGGGAGCAAAGTGAGGAAGCAGCTACTAATTCCCAAAGGCATAGTACCAGAACTGAAAAAATTCTGCACAACAGCCACCACATTCTTGTCAACCACTTGCCAAAAGGTTTGATAAAACCTTGCAGGAAAACCATCAGGACCCGGAGACTTATCTGGATGAAACCCCATCACCACAGCATTTACCTCCTCATAACCAACTGGAGCCTCTAATAAAAGAATATCTTCTACAGTGAGAGTATTTCTAGGTGCTAGATCACAGACAGTGTTATCCATTTGTTTAGAAAACAACTACTGATAATAATCCACAAAACTTTGGCCTATATCTGATATATCCCTTAGAACCTGTCCATCTTCAGTCTCTATGCTAGTAATTGTATTAAAATTCCTATGTTGCTTGATTTTATGATGGAAAAATACAGATCACATGTCATTCTCCCTTAACCAAAGAGTCCTAGCCTTTTGAGCTAGAAGTATCTCTTGGACAGTCAGAGAAGCTTGATACTCTTCTCTGATCTTAAATTCAGCCTCAATCAGATCTGCTGATGAATTGGATAACAACTGCAACTGGATGTCTTCAAGTTTTTGCGTAGACTTCAAAACCCTCTCCCCTACATCCCCATAGATATTTTTATTCCACTCCTTAATAGTAGCTTTAACTTGTCTCAATTTCTTTAGAAGTTTGTGCATAAGGGAGCCACCAACTTTAATCTTCCATGCTTGCTCAATAATAGGTAAAACAGCTTCTTAAAGACACCAAAGTTTCAACATTTTATATGGTTTTGGACCTGTTGCAAAAGTCTTTGAAATTTGAATCACCACTCCATAATGATTAGAACTCTTAGCTGTAGAGAAAGCCATCTTAGTACCAAAAAGCCATCTTTGTACTAAATTATTGCCTCCAAAAAGTACAGAGAAAAAGCTAGCATATAGATATAGTACCAATTGATGAGTACTGAAAAGTGCGTATTTAAGCCCCTTAGGCTTAGGCATTCTAGTACCTTTATCTATCTTACTTTACCGTTTTAGATTGATTTCGTATTATTTCCATTTTCAGGCACTTATCCCGAAAATAAGCTAACTCAGCCAAATAAGAGCAGAAATAAAGCAATTCTAGGATGAATCAAAGAAAAGAGCCAAGTGGAAGCAAAAGGAAGAAAAAGATGGAAATCAACATCTTTGATCGATCCAACATGATCGATCTCAGTACTTCAAGATGGATCAGAATCATGATGACATTTTCAGAGATCTCAAAAGTTTGATCGATCCAATATCATTCTTCGATCGATCGAACTACCTTGTCCTTATCCAAATGATTGATCTTATCTAGTTGTACCACCCTACCAACCACTTTTGTCCTTTTCCCAAAAATATCTTCAAAATACCTCAGATTTGTTTTTATCCAAAAAGCGCCGCCATTGAGGATCGATCCAACTTCAGTTCGATAGATCTCAGCCATGTTCGATCGATCCAAGTCTAAAGTTCGATCGATCGAACTTCCTCCAGCGCGAAAAAGTTAAATTTTCAGCTCACAAAAAGTTGTCCTTTATTCAATCATTGGGGAATATTTGCTGTATGACCCCAGCTTATTTTGGGTGTCATTTAACCTTCCTATATAAGGATAAGGATTACTTTTTACATCATATCACATCATATCATATCATACTTTGTAGAACTCTTGGAGAGGAAGCTTAGAGGAGGAGGAGGCTAGAGACACCATTGGAGACTCTTCATCAACCAAGGAGCAAATCTCTACCATGGAGTTAGCCCTTGAGGGTTGGAGAAGCACTACCATGAGTGGCTGGACATCTTCTTGGGGCTAGAGTTAGCCCCAATCATGCTTTCTACATCTTGATTTTGTGTATTATTGAGGGATTAGTGTTGTAATACATGTTTTGGCACTTATATATATATATATATATATATATATCGTGTTTATTCAATGATTTATATGGTTTAATGCTTCCAATTGATCATTTCATTCTATCCATATGTCTATGTATGCTAGAATAGATGTTCATGTGTTTATCTCTATTTCTTGTGTTATTGATGTATGTCTATGTGTATTAATGCCATAGATCTATAGATTGTCAAAACATAATGCTTAATGGAATGCTCTTGTAATTTTCTAGATGGTTTATGCTCATTTCTTGATGGATTGTGCCTCTCCCTTAGCTTAATTAGTTTAATTTCATATCTTTAGCTTAATTGTAAAATAGTGGTAGCATAGTTGTTAGATGGGAGGACAATCCATGCTTGTTGTTTGATGTTCCATACTTTTGAATGCAAGTAGCATATGTCTCTAACCTTGTGATGTATTTTGTTTGTGAGTTTAATGAAAGGATTAATGACTTGATAGATATATTGTGCTTTTCACATGCTATTTAGACAATATATACTTAATTGTTAGATATATTGTACTTTTCATATGTTGATTAGACAATATATACTTAATTGGTCACCCTTACTAATTGAATCAACCAAACACACACACACATCAATATTGCAACACACATTTCCCTCATTAGTCACTTGTTAAGGGTGTAGAAAAGTATTGTTTGGTGGTGACCTCTAAACCCTAAGATCTCTCTCTCATTTACTCTTTATTGCATTCAATTATTTAGTTTAATTTGCTCTCTAGTTTAATCAACCAACCAACTATTTGTTTGATCACTTGACCTACTAACCCTAATAGTGATTCCACAACCAAATTCGACTCCAATCCCTTGGGACGATCCCTACTCACCCTACTTATATTTTTAGTGAAGGTAGTAGTGGCTTTTATAAATGTAAAACTTGGCCCTCACCTTAATGCACACTCTCTAAGCTTATGGTAGGACGACGACCACCAATCCTCAAGACATTGAATGAGCCTTGTTATTCAATCAAACATTTTTTTTTTTTTTCATTTTTCATTTTCTTTCTTTTATTTTTATTTTTATTTTTTATTTATTTATATTTTTTTTTTATTTCTCACCTTTGGTGAGTGATTTTTCTCACCTTTGGTGAGTGCTTTTATTTCTTTTCTTTGTAAGGTTATTTTATTAAGAATGAAAGCTTTCAAAGCATATTAGCTCAATTGGGATAAACCAAGACAATAATCAACTAAGCATGTACCCCACAAATTGAATGCTAGTGTGCACAAGTGCTAGTGTAGAATTCTAGAATCAACTTTCAAAGCATTTTCAACCAATAAGATGATGTGTACAACAAAAGCAAACATTATGTCAAAAATTAAAATTTACCTTTAAATGGCATCCTAGAGCATACAAGAAGTATTAGACTTTAACAACTTGTTTTTCAAAGGCACTATGCTTCAAAAGTTCGAAATTATTGCCAAACACATCTTAAATCTCATCATGCATTTAAAGTTCAACTTAAAATAGAATGAATCATAATAACCTTACCCCCAAACTTAAACTGTACATTGTCCTCAATGTGTAACGAGAACAATAAAAAATGATGAAAAGAGTATACCGTGATGGCAAAAGTCTATGAAGCCTGGCAATGATCCATTATAAAAGAGGTCATCCCCAAACTTGGATGCAAAAACCTACTTGAATAACCATACTAGCAAACTCACATCAAATATCAAATGGGATATAGATAAATAAAACATACATTCTAAAACAATATAGAACAAAATGCAAAGAGATATGAGATCAAGCCCTTGGTAAAAATGAAAACATGCATAACTATGCAAAAAGGCATGATGGAACAACATTTTTTTAAAAATATATGCAAAGAAAAGAGCACGGTATATACAACCTACAAAATCAAAAATTAAATAGGCTAAGTTTAACGTCTCTAGCAAGACGGAAAGCTACTTTGAGAATAATTGGAACGAAAGAGGAATTCGATACAACTAGTGTTTAATGTCGCTAGAGAGACGTGAAATGCTCTCAATCTTTAAAGTAAATGGGATCCACCAAGAGAGCGGATTCCACATTTCTTTGAAGAGCTTGGCCATCAATGTATGGTTTAAGCCTTTGACCATTAACCTTAAAGGTCCCTTCATCTTTCAGATTTTGATGTTCAACCACCCCATGAGGTGAGATATAATACCCCTCGATTCTAGAGCCACGGGTGATCAAGTCCGAGCATAGATCCGAGGAACACCAAATAATTAAGTATATAAACAAGCATGAGTACAAAAGAATTAAAGAATAAATAATTAAGCTGAAAGAATTCTAAATAATAAATCCTCAAAGTATTAATAATATAATCCTATATTTCCAAAAATACTCCAATATCCTTACAACTCGGGAATCCATCTAGTGGACCCCTACTAATATCTCAACTGAAACAAAATAAATGAACTGAAAGGAAATCCAAAACTAAAGCATAAAGAAAAGTCCTACATCATCGAAAAAGTGAGTGACTGTCTCTGCTTAGCACGAACAAGCTCTAAGCCTGGAATTGTCAAACACCTGAAAAATAATAGTGGGTCAGGCCTACGAACAAGTTCTACTCTAACTATAATCCAAACAGAGATCCGATACGCAGATACATTATAGATAACTTAACAATAACTATCTAGTCCATAAATATATATATGCACACTAAGGGACTTTCATTGGACTACAAGGCGATCTCAACCTGACTAATAGGCAGCATGCAAAATGCACCTGAAGTGGGGGGGCATGAGTACCTAGACCTAACAGGGTACACCTCTAACCATCATAGCCAGTTATGCATCCCACTACAGATACGCTCCCTAACTATCGATCCTGGGACTCAAGCTCATATCGTGGTACCATAATCATATATATATATAAATCCATCCAAAACTAATCCATCCCTAGTTTGCCACTGTCCCATACAGGTACATACAATCCACAAAATCCATATAATTAACAGAACAAAAATAAATAGTTCATCAATTAAAATCCAGAGCATGATATAATGGAAATTAGATAATAAACTGAGCACCTTATATTGAATTATACAAGAGTATAATCATACTAATCCATTTAACTTGCTAGAACCACAACAAGCAATTAAATCTTCTCTAACCATTGACACTATGCAAATAAGTATTCAAATTTCATGATATCCAAATTTTAGCATAATAGCATGGTTTAACAATTCTAGGATTTTAACATGTTTATTTAAATCATTTAAACCCCCCCCCCCCCCAATTCAAGTCTAGAATGCAGTTCTAAAAATCACTGCCAGTAGAGGAGCCGCCTCCCTTGATAAGCACTGAGGGCTCGTCCAAAGCCATCCGAATGCTTGTTCGGCAATCATCAGCACCGAACGCTTATCCGGCAATC